CGTCACCTGGATCTTTGATGAGTTCTACAATTCGGCCCAGTTTCCAATAAGCGCGAGGTAATGATTCATCAAAAATTATCACTACCTCTCCTAATTGTCCTTTGGGGGAAGATGGAGAAACCTCTCTATCCCTATACAAGTATTATCTAACATTAACTTCCTAGAATTGTTAGCAGCAGAATTATCAATATGTCACTTCGCACAGAGACTCGAACGGATGCATATAGCTATCCGACTGAATAACAATACAACTATAGCCTTCATAAATAGAAGAGGCGGCTCGTCAAATGAGCAAGGAACCATAATAGCCAGAAGAATATAGGAATTCTGCCAGGCGCGACATATCCGCATACGCGCTTTTTATATTCCGGGAAGGGAAAACGTGCAAGCAGACGCCCTAACTCGACTACATAGAACCAAATGGAAAGAATGGTCTCTATCCGACAGTATAGCGAATGCCTTATTTCATACAGTAGGTACACCCAGCTTTGACCTATTCGCATCTGAACGGAATACAAAAGCCCCGTATTATGCCTCGTTTCTTCCAGAACGACGAGCGCAAATAGTAGACGCCTTCTCACAGCGGTAGACGAAGCTTACAACAGGATATCTGTACGCTTTCCCTCCATTTTTGTTACTACCCAGAGTAATAAGGAAGATGAAAAAAGAGATTGTCAAGATAATACTTATCACACCACTATGGCGATCACAACTTTGGTTCCCGCTACTACTAAAACTGACGGCAAAACCCCGTTTTCTATTACCAAAAGTAGAGAGACTCCTCACAGATCAGAAGTCTATAATAATTGTTTACGTGAAGTTTGCGCTTACAATCTTCTCAAAAATCCAATTAAAATCGGAGGACCAAACTGCACTGTCGAGATAGATGAATCTCTTGTATCAAAAAGAAAATACAACGTTGGACGGATGAAGCCACAGCAATGGATTTTCGGAGGCATTTGTCGCGAAACGAGAGAGTGTTTTCTTTATTCAGTCCCCGATAGATCAGCTAATTCTCTAATTCAATGCATAAATCATTCTATTTTACCTGGATCCACAATCGTTAGCGATTGGTGGAGATCTTATAATGGCATTGAAGCGCTTCCTAATCATTATAATCACTTAACTGTTAATCGTTGATCCCAAGAGCGGAGCGCATACTAATAATATAGAGGGTCTATGGAATGTTGCTAAGAGTAGATTTAGAAGGATGTGGGGTGTTCACCCTCAAATGTTAGATAGCTATTTATGCGAATTTCATGTGGCGTAAAAGAAATCAAAATAAGGATTTGTTCGATGTTATCTTTGATGATATTAACCATTTTATGCTAAGAGATAATGAATTGTAAAGTCTATGTTTTCTTTACCAACAGCGTCCAAGAGCGTGCGCAAAACGGCAAAAAGGGGCGTGGCTAAGACGGGGGGGGAATAATGCATAAGAACCGAATCTTTTTTTTTCCTTCTGTTTGTCAATTTGTATTCTTAAGAAAATGAACTTTTCTCTGTTTCCTCTCTTTTTTTTGAATTCGAGAATAGCTAAGTGTTTAAAGAGGCAAAAAGGTTACCGAACGCAAGGAAGTTTTCCTTGAATCGTGGCTTAACCAGCACCACCTTGAGTTAAAAAGGTTAAGCTAACCACACGACAAAAGGTCAAAAATTTGAATAGAATACATTGTTGTCTGTAACAGAAAGGTCTCACGTCTACATCTACACTGATACAGGCATCCACTCGATGCTCTGACATTATCGCCCTATGGCTCATAGATGAGCTATTTTGGATCTTCCAAACGCAATTCATTTGAGAAAGGATTTGGCACAGCAGTTGGCACTAAGTCTTTGGTCTGCTTCATAGGTCGCTTCAACAGACAACACATGTTCAAGAAATCGTATAAATACCGCTGAGATTTTGAGAAGTTGTTCTTGTTCTTTTTGTAAAACGCTTGCTTATTTACTGATTTCAATTCGCTTTATATTGTTAGCTTAATAAAACCTTAGTTGCTTGAAAGTTGTCTTTACGTTGATCACAGACATATCAAACCATCGAGAATTGGTGATAACCGAGATTGAGAAAAAGGTGATATCCAAGTAACTAATTGAGTAAAAGAAACACCCACTGAACCGCCACCACATGAGCCACCATTCGATCTAAAAGTGTGCGTACCATTTCGGAGCAGATTGTATCATCTGTGTAGATAAAATTCTAGTCCACGTCGACTAATCAGCCACTCTGAATATTCTAACAAAAAAAACATATATGGGGTTGAACAGGGAGTCGACCGGATCAACATTCTCGGCCGATGCACCATGACTAAGCTTATACGGGCGCTTCGCTCTAGCCCTACAACTCCCTATGCATCAACACTCATACATTATACGGTGTAGTTATCTAGGTGGTTGTTAAGATAGGTTAACACATTGACTCCAGACA